CAGTCACTGTCTCTCTTTCTTTTTGAGACTGTGTGAGGCCTATGTTGCCACATCTTGAGGCAGTCTTGGCCCATCTAGGGGCTATGTTTCCCATCTTGCGGCTATGTGTGCCATATCTAGGACTATGTTGGGTCCTCTTGAGGGCCTCTGTTAGATCATCTTGGAGCACATGTTCCGCCTTTGCTGTTAGCGCGTGCCCAACACCCACGAAATGTCGATTAAGCCTGTCCGCGCGGAACGCATAACCGACACCGCCGGCGCCCTGTTAGGCGAAAGTCGTGGCCGCCGAAGGCCACGAACCACTGTAAAAAACGATGCGCAAAAAACCTAGTAGATACATAAAAATCTGTCGACCGGGTTCGGGCGGGTCGACCGGGGGTCGGGCGGGGGTCGACCGGATTCTCCCCGCGGTCGTATATAACCTTCGGTTACCAACCGAAGGCCTCCGGCAAGGACACGGGCGCGTGGCCGGCGCCCGGATTAAGCAAGAAAGGGCTGACGCCCTGGTGCCGCCGACCCCTTGTCATTTTGTGCGTGCAGGCGTGTCATTTGGCGCGAGTTGAATCAAAGGATACCTCTACGAGTTGCAGGTGTTGGAAAGCCCAAACCAAGATTTGGACACCAGATTTGCCTTTGTCGATCGTGGAGCCCCGCTTCAAAACTGGTTTGGCGCAAGAATCCCAGAAGAAGAAGAAGAAGAAGAAGAAGAAGAACGGATCCTCGTAAGATTGTTCAGGTGTCAGTCTCTTCATCATTCCTACGCATGGATGCGTGGGTCAGGACCAATGAAACAAACACACTTAAACAATCTTAAACACCTTTTAACACCTTGCCGAACTCTGTGGAGCCTTCTTGCACGTCTCTTCCCGGAACCACGTCGTGGACCCGCGCACATCACCCGTCGTCCGAAAGCCCCAGGGTCGCTGCAAGAAGCAAGCTGCGAGGGCGCAAACCTCGGCGCCACCACGCCCAAACACCCTGGCCCTGGAGGTTTCAAAAAGGGCAGAGAGCGACCGCTGCCAGTGTCTAACGTTGCCTTCGGAAG